GATGATGATGATGATGATGATGATGATGATGATGATGATGATGATGAGGCTGATGCTGATGCTGATGCTTCTGATGATGATGATGAGGAGGAAGATGACGATGAGGATGAGGATGAGGATGAGGATGAGGATGAGGATGAGGATGATGATGATGATGATGATGATGATGATGATGATGATGATGATGATGTGGTGCAAAATAATCTTCGAGATATGGTTGCTGATTTGCTTTTTAAAACCAACCCATCCAAATCCCTCAAACATAAATTAGAGCAAAAAGGCCTTCGTAAGGATCTACATCTTCACATGTTGGACGATGTTGGTGCTAAAGAGCACTGAACAAACAAAAACAAAGAAGAGCAGATTGCACAATTTCCCTAAATTCTGGGTTTATATGGAACCTCCCAGGCATGTATCGCATGGATTGGGGGTGGCACGTGCCAGACATGAAGGCCACCGTACGAACGGCCACGCCTGTTCGGACTCGGTCTCCACAACCAGATCTCCAGCGTAGCAAAGATGCATCACCTCCCAGCCACAGCGGCCACTGCAAAAAAACACGCTTTGGAAGCGGAGGAGACCTGTTGGAAGGTGCTGGCAAGGGGTGTCTATTTATAGCCCCTTAGCTGCTTTTGTGGGGTTCCATTAAGCCATTCCTTGAATGCTCCACTGTATGCGCGTGTAGGTGTCAAACTTCACAGCTATGACCACCCCACAGGAGCCAAAAAGCATCCTTTTCGAAATAGCGGTAGCTGTGAGATGCCGTGAGTATCACTCTTCAACTGGTCAGCTGGGCTCAGCATGGACAAACACACATGTGACGAAAGCCCTAAGAATTATATTATATGGCATCCAATGCCTGGTGGCCCAGTGTTCCCTAAGATAGCAGCCTTATATGTATTTTTTCCCGAGTGTTCGCCTTCGATACCACCCTTTTTTATTCTGTGGCAGCTCATCTCGCGACCCCAAAAAGGACTGTTGCTGAAGAGTTCATATGTTTGATTGCCAGTCACTTTGGACTCAGTTTATTAATTGGTTGATTGTTCATTGGCCAACAAGCATGAGGGGTGAAGAACACTTGTTCAAACACAACAACCCCATCAATTTCAATGACAAACGCATTGTGCAAAAGGGACAAGAAAAACAGAAGGAGGAGAAAGGGAAAACGAACGTGAAGGGAGAAAGGGGCAAAAAAGGATGCCAGGCTAGGCCCTGGCAAAAGAGAGAAGAGAGAGAGGAAAAGACAGACATGGAGCCTGGCAAGAAAAGACTAAGACAAAGAAAAAGAGCAAGAGAGAGAGAGGGAGACATCATCTATACACCGGCCATGGCCCGGTTTCCGGTCAAGGGTTCGGAGAGCCTCCTCCTGCCCCGGGACGATGGCAGCTTTCGGCCATGCCAGCTGCACTACTTCACACTCTGTGCAAACCAAATGCCTCATGGCAGCGTCAGTGAAAACGGAAGCCGATGCTTTGTGCCAATGTGTTAGTTTGATACAAGATACACATTTGTTGAGGAGGGAAGCAGAACAGGTACACTACTTCCGAGTACAAAACCACGGGGTGTATGTACTATGATGCGCTACGGTTGCTTTGGCCACAGGACTGCTGGGACTTTTTGGGGAATGTGCGGTTTTGGTGACCCGATGATGAACATGGTGTTTCTGGGGACCCGATGGGACCCGATGGGGCGCCTCTATCTGACACATCAATTGCATGGAGGCAATCAATCTAATCCTGGGTCCCTATGTCCTTTGTTTGGCTTCTGAACTGTGCTTGTCATCTTGTCCATTGTATCCTGGTCTGGGCTCCTTCCACACCTGCTCTTGAAGGGCGGCCCCTCTGAAACATCCCTAAACCAACCTCCTCACAAATTGTGGCACACAATACCAAAAAGGCCAGCGGTTTTCAAAACAGAGTAAGCTATATAACCTGCTTATATCGTTGGTGTATTTCCGCTGTATGTGAAGCATCGTTCCCTCTCAATCAGCTAACCGGCAACTTTTGGGTTGTCAGGGGTCAGGAGAAGTTGTCAAAGGTTCCCTCCGAACAGATTGTGTAAAGCGTAGGCCCAAGGGATCCAAACACCTTATCAAAAGGTATACTTAGACCCTCCTGGCGCCTACATAAACGAGTCTCCAATGACCTTTCTCAGAGGGTATGCGGATCCATGGGGAAGGACCATGCACTCCAGTCCAGGTCCAGCTAGTCATCTGCACGTTCTTCTTCTCGAGTCATGCTGTTTCAATGACATCGAGGGCGAAGCGACCACAGTCAGGTGCTTCCGTGCTTCCGTGGTCAGGGGATGATTTGATGAAGCAGGTGGTTGTGCTCATCTGCGTGCCCCTCGGATGCCACAACTACATAGTTTCTCCCAAAGAACTCGATTGATCAAGAGGGGGGACATATGGGGACATCCTAGAAACATCCACCCCGGATTTCTGAGCAAAGCCAAGCTGAAGAAGAAACATGAGCCAGGCTAGGCGCAGAAAGGCAGAGTCGCACATGCTGAAGGGCTCTTTCATGACCTCAACTCATCTGTGAAGACTCGGCACGGCCCACGGCGGCCCACGGTTGGTGCCACACATGACACAGCTCAACAAACAGTGGCGACCTATGCCCGGGATTAGCTGCATTTGAGAATTCGCTGAGCTATTTGGTATATTTGGTGGACTTGCGGGCCTCCAAACCAATACAGTGGAGCAAAAACATGCAAACATGATCAAATATGATGATTGCTTGATACTCTTGATCTTGCTTGGATGGATTTAATCCTCCAGGAAACACACACACACACAAAAAAACAAGCACGTTCGACAGCTGAAAACGCACAGAACCCGGATCTATCACTCTGTTTGTCGGTCGCCTCCTGTATTTCGCCTCTGGATGACGTCCATGTTTTGATGGTCTCCCTGATGGGTGGACGAGAGTCCGATTTGCTAGGAAAACACTTCTATGGACAACATATATACCACAAAGGGCCTTTTGAACAGACAGGGGCATTCTTGTTTGACCCGAAGTCGGGTCTTCCTTTGGCACATCAAAATTTGCAGAAATACCTATACAAGTGCGTAAAATCCCCATACCTGCCGCAGGAACAGTGCATAGTGGATGATCAGAACTCCTCCGCAAACCCAATCACAACTATGCTATACCACTTCAACGATCAAAGTACCTTGCGAGTATACTCATCCTATGGCCATGCTAAATCTGGATCCCTATCCTGGAATTTGGGCATTCAACCAAGCTGCGGTCATGGCGATGCGGTGGCGCACCTGTTCCGCCAGCTTGATCTTCCTCGAGGTCACAGTCATAGGATCTTCTGCGCAGTTCTGTGGCTCTTGGGTTGAGAAACCACTGGTTTCATCCCTCTAGGCCTCTAGGGTTTTTCTACGAAGTTCCATGCTCCACCTGAGGGCTTCCAGACTGAAAGGAGTGGATCAAAGCTAGCGAAACTCCTCTCCGCATGTCCAAGTGCTTGATCACGTGTGGTGATTGCCGGGAAGTGACCACAGAATGGACCGACTTAGTCCTCAAACCAAAGAAGCTTCAGTGGATCAGAAGTAAAGATCATGCCCCTCAATATCCCTCAATTCATACATATATTTGATTCCAACTGCAAATAGCTCAGGACCCTGTTCATCGTGACTGGAGAATCATCGCAAAACTTGCACCTATACTACTTATATCTACTTATCTTATACGTTAAAAATACACATACAATCGCCTCCGGAACTGGCCAACATGTCACGTTTCGAGTTCTGTTACCCCCCCACACCAAAAAACAAGCATGACGACACGGCTGGTGCGGCTAGACAACAAGCCCCCTCTCAGCCGCCCAGCGACTCTTCTGGAAACTTGGCCAGGCAGGCATAGAAGGCATCCCGTGTGGCCAAGAACATCAAGGTCTCCTGGGTTTCCAAACCCCGCGCGAAACGTTTCCAGCGCGAAACATCGCATCGGAATTCAACCGGAGGAAACTTCGAACTTCGGGCGTTAGTTCTTCTAGCATCTTCTAGTATCTCAAGACTCTAATCACATTTTGGCATCTGGAAAACGTGGTTCAAACATGTTCATCTCTGGACTCCCAATGGGCCTCATGGGGCTCCCAGCTTGTTCCGAAAGCCCGTCTGACGTGCTCTGCTATGACGTGCGCTTCACATAGCTTCGCTCCCTTCGCCCTCCCCCCGATGAGTCGCTCCCCGTGTTGTGAGCAGCGGGTGGTGGCATGGCGTCGGTAGCCCGTCTCAAAAAGGGCGGCTTCGCCAATCTCTTGGCCACTGTTGGACTTGGAAAAGACCTGGCAAGGCGAACGGCATGACCTATGAAGCTGATGGCTGATGTGGAGCTGGCTGATGAAGCTGGTGATGGTGCTGTGGGTTGTGCTCAAGTTTGAACTGCATGTTTGCATCAAAATAACTGAGGGTAGTGTGTGTGTGTGTGTGTGGGCCCACGTCAATTTTAAGCAACTGCATTGCACCGTGCAGTAACCGCAAGGGGGACAATCCCACTTTGCAGCCGATCGCCGAAGAGGGCATAGCTGAAAGAGTAGCTGAAATGGACACTTTCCAGCTGCCTTTAACGATAAGGTGTCCTTTCACGACATTTAACTATGACTATATCCCATAGACTCCATATATGGAATATATGCCTACATTGACCCCCCAAACCACCCCAATGTAGGCAAATAATATGGCATACATGGAGCGACTGGGCATGAGTACCTCCAACAGGTCACCAATTGAAACCTGTTAGGGCCTAACAACCCCTCCTATGGTTTTGAGGGACCCAAGGGCTGTTTTGAGCGGCAGGGTAGATGCCATGGAAGAATGATACTGAGTTTGACCGGATTGAAACTGCATGTGGCTCTCTCCAAGCGAGATCACTCTCGAGTGTGCAAGTTTGAACGTGTTTTCTGGGTGCAAACGGGAGAAGATCTCACCATTCTTTCCGGATTCCAGTTTAATGGGGAAGGAGTGATCGCATGTGTTCTCACCTGGCGAACCCTCCTAAGTGACTTGTTTCAACAAATCACCGGCAACGATTGGAGAGATACTTGTTTAAATCATAATGTGTCAAACTCCCAGGGCAAAAGAATACAGTATATATACCTGGAACTCATCTGACCACTGTTTTTATTTCAATTTCGGATAGTCAACCCTCCAAAGCAGGGTCACTCAGGTTCTATAGGGTATATATACTAAACTGGTCTCCAAGAAGTCTCCACGATTTAACGTCACCCCACCGTAACTTGACTTTTCATTCAAAGGACTTCAGCATCTCCACCTCGACTGTCAGCACTCCTTGACTAAACCTCCACATACAAGTACCTCCTGAGAACCGTTTCCAGAAGTTCTTGAAAACGCCTCGGGTTCTCTGCTGCTTTTTCTGGCCTTGCCCACACCCCCACCGGTTCACGCCGGAGCTCCCGCAACCGTCTTCCGCCCCGGCCTTGCGGCCATTCGCTATGACGTCCACGGAGCCTGAAACTAAGATGCCCAGGGAGCGGCCGAGCGACTTCTCTTTGAAAATCCTCGGAGCTCCGGAAGAAAGGACCGCGCGAGGGGGACCTCGCCGCGCGTTCCTTGAGGGGGAGAAAGACGTGAACCTCTTTTGCGCAGTAACGCTTCTTGCCGGAGTTCGTGAAGTAACGCTTTCTTTTTTTTTGGGGGGGGGTTGGGTGGCGCAGTTGGGTGGCGCTCCGATCTTGTTCCTGCAGGTGCCAGGCAAAAGAAACAGCTGAGGCGAGGGTGTTTGACTACGGCGTGGAATGCAACCCTTGCGCTACACTAACGACAACATTTTAAGATAGATCAATATGTAATGTCAAAGAGATGCACACCAATTTCTTCAGCCATGAGACACTATAATCATTATACAAAACAACGGGTGGTGATGAAGGAAGAATTCCTGCACCAGCTGAGCTGCTGGTGCAAGTCCCAACACATGCCAAGATTCTTGTGACCTACTAGGAGCAAGAAGCTACTAGTAGCTCCTGGCATTACTACGAGTAACAAGAAGCGTAACAAAGGGCATCGCTACGAACGGAGCGATCGGACGCTACTAGCATGGGCAACTCGAAGTGTGCGCAACCTGCGCCCCCAGGGATGAACACCGTCGTAAGAATCCCAATCCGCTTCCCACGGCCACCACAGAAGCCCCACAATTGTGGTGTCCTACTCCAGTGAAACACTTTATTTTTTATAGTGTCTATATCCACTGCCACCTTTCCATACACTTGTCATCCAAGGGGCACTTGACCCGGCTCAAATAAGCGCAAATCCATATCTTTCACCAACCTGCCGCGTGCGCCGCAGAAGAAAAGCGCCCGTGACAGGACTCGGCGAGGCCCCTTGGCCCCTCAACACCACCTTGGCCACTTAGTGGCCCCATCCGGCCGGGAAGATTTAAAAAAACAACCATGAAGGTCAAGGTGTAGAAGCCCAACCAATCCCATGGGTTCTTCAAGAGTTGCATTGACTCCATGCACTCACTCAACCTGATAGAATGGTAACTCTTCTCCCATTCGTCTATGGTGGAAATGGATGTTCCGTGGGTCGCCGGGGGCGGCTTTTCTTCACCCAAGCAGATCGCCACCCCACTGGATCTGAACACCCTTCTTGTCTCGCTGATCGCGCTCGAACGAGGCGGCACAGATTCGGTCCAAGACGAAGACCGAGCCCAATGGGCTGATCCCCAAACACGGCTTCTGTGATACATACATGATGCATGATGAAACCAAAAAAACACCTGCATGGTAGATGTCTTGAACTTGTGACGGGGGACCCTGCATGGCATCTCTGAACATGCTCCAGATGGTCCGGGAGGGTCCAATACATGTACAAGTAGTTGTCAAATCGCTGGCAAGGACAGTCCACATCACTTCTCTCAATGCCGGTGACACGCGGAGCCAAGTGACTGGCCAATGAACAGTGTGGAGTAGTGTGAGAAGACCCCGCCACAAGCCAGCTGGCGTTGCAAATACCTCACCCGTTGCGGCAACGTGACTGCAAGGAGATATACCCAAACAAAGCTCTTTCCAAAAATTGATCGAACAAACAATTATAACTATAGACTATAATAACTTGAAAGAACCATGAAAGAAACAAGATCTTTTCATCGATTCCCTCATGAAAAAACCACATGTACTGCCCTCCTCCGCCCAGTTCTTCGCCTTCTTGGAGCGACGCCCGTTTCCGGCCCACCGGAACCGGCCCGTCTCATCGTCCGACCGTGGCCGCCTCCCGCCGCAGTCCAGGTCACGGAATGACCTGGATCCGCACGTCCTGCAGCACTCGACGACGGAAGGCGGTCAAGTCCGAGGCGTTGAAGAGCGACTCGAACTGCTCCAGGTCACGACCTGGAGCAGAAGCGAGTCAAAGCGGACGAGGCAACCCCGACGGCGCGCTCACGCTGGTGAAACTGGACGAGACTACCTACCTCTTGGTTTTTCTTCCGATGGCGCCAGATTTTGGGGGTTCACGCTGCATTCAAAGAACGAGGACGTAAATTCACCGACTTGATGCAAGGTGAAATTCACGGACGTCCACAGGTTTTGAAGATCAAAAAAAACACTTTGGCTTCGTCCATGTTCCGGTTTGTGCAACTTTGGGGCGGGGTCTGTCCTTTTTCAACCCTTTGCCAGCACCGAAGCTGCACGACCTTCTTGCCCACCAACTCGCGCGTGGCGACGGAGACGCGCACGGGCAGACGCGCACGGCTTTGGAGCTGGGTCCGAGCTGCTATCGATCTCCCAGGCATGCAAGACCTTGGCCTCCTCCAGATCGGGAACCCGCACCGAGAAGATCTGCCTGGACCCAAACGCGAACCAAAGCGACGGGACTGCCAGGTCGGACCTGCCTTCAAAACGGTCGGGGTGGTGCCAGGGGGGTCTGGCTTGATCGGCAGTCCTATTCCAGTCTTATGGAGCGGGGGGAGAGTGGTTCCACAGTTCGGGCTCCTGGCCCACCTCCGAAGAGGGGGTCGGTAAAACCTTCTGAGGGATAGGGGCTCGGTAGCTCCGGAAAATCAGATCTGCGCGGTGTTTTGCTGTGGGGCAAAACGAACCAACATGCGCCAAACAGAGATTTCACCATGGCGCCATGTGAACAGCTATGCTAAACCCATGTCCCCCACAGTGCTACCGGGGTATTGTCATAACCAGCTTGCAAAGTCCCAAAACCATCCAAAACCAAACTCCCAGGAATTCGGTCAAAGCATCTTTGGTCCATGCCGAACGCGGTCGGTTGCCGGGGCTCGGAGATGTTCGTCTCCAACACCCAAGCCAGAAGCACCCAAACAGCCAAATAAGGTCAATCACGATCCAAGCTCTCACGATCCAACTGTCTCGCATCATGCTGCTCGATCTCGCCATGAAAACCTATGTCGTACACCACTGGCAGTGGAAGAACTTCTACCTTCATTTGGTGAGTTGCCAGTTTGTTTCCATTGACCAAATTCTTCAAGTTGGTTTCGTATCTTCAAAGCCTGAATTACGGCCTGAACCGAGCAAACCCCCCAAGCAGCCGTTGTTCGTCTCGCCCTTCAAAAGAAAAATACGACGCCTTGATGCTGACCCCACGGCAAACAGCCCTCCAAGCACCTGGAGAGAACCGTACTGGAATTGATGCTGGAGCACATCCAATTTCATCGGGGTAAGCCTGTCTATAGCGATTGTCTGCCCTGATGCGTCCAAGATCATGGCAGTTTCGGAATGAAGTCATGCCGCAGCCCTCAACTAAACAGAATCATGGTGCCACACACCCAGCAGGGTGTAACAACGGGTGGTCCACAGAAACGCGTGGTCCGCATGCTAGTAACGCACAGGGTCGCAGCTACCACGTATCGGACGGAAGCGCCACGTCGCAGGCTGATTTGGAAGTCGAATCGGTGGTGTTTTGGGATGTCCAAATCTTGGGGAAATGAAAGCACCAATCAAAATAATACCAATGTCGCATTGTGATGTGGGCACTTGGCTACAAGCCAACAAACATGAATTGGATGGCTACAAATAAACAAGTATAGATTATAAAACCTACTTGTTCAGTCAGAGTTCAAGTGTCATATATGTTGCAACGCCCTTGACAACGTTTTCCTGGCGTGGAGGAAACAACCCCGGAAAAGAAACAAACAAAACAAAAGTTGCAGAACCACTTCCCTCCAACAATCACAAACACAGAAAGGGTCCATTTTCCTCCATGTTCTAAATCTTGCAGAATTCCATCTTCCAATAGACCATGGGATCCATTTCCGAGGTTGGCGGGCCCGCGGGTATACGGTTGAACCATGTCAAGCAACGGTTTTCCCGACGCACCGACAAACGTTTTCATGCCAACTCTGCAATGAAGTGAGATGAAGTGCATGCACCAACGCGCACCTCAATTTCCGTGGTCACCCCAAACACGCACAAACGCAATCGGAATCGCCTTCCCTGAAAGGAACCCTTCAGTTCTAGTGCCCATAAAGTTAAAATCAAAGGCTTTGCGTAAATCAATTCTTCAGGATTTTTGCTTGCATGGGGCACGCAAAGCTTTTACCGTCGACTTGATGCTACCATGTGAATAGCGCGGTGCCGCATGGATATCTAAGGGCATCTAAGGACACTTGCTATCCCAAACAGCAATCAGAGATTCCCCTGAAATCTAAAGGTGCCGGTGTGTTGGAGTTGTATGTTTCCCCAATCTGCAAAACCTTGTCAGGAACTTCAACATCTTGAGTCCCCCTTGTGAAATCTTCTCCGCTTCCTTAAGCCTGAAGCCTTCTTCGCCTAAGCCGTTCCCAGGTTCAAAACACGCTGTTTCGCCAGGTTCCACGAGTCGCGGTTCCACGAAGCACCTTCCTTGGCCCACAGGTTCCTACGAAGCGCTCCCCGTCTCCCTCCGGGAGCCAAAGCTCGGCCTGGCGTGTGGGCCACGAGTCGTTCGGTAAAGGGCGGCCACGAGTCTAGCGGCACCACTGGGAGATAGATATGGTGAGATGGGTGTGACATAGGTGTATAAATGTTGTAAGTTGACCCTTTTTATTGCGAGTCTGCACCCTTTTTTTATTTAGAGAGTTCGCAAGCGCTATATACCACGCCATTTTCCTCTGCGCACACTTCTTCTATCTTCTGCAATCGCAGCAGTTGGCAACCTTGGCTGCCCTCAACGCAACTAACTTTCTGGCTTGCTTCACATTCGAAGCCTTGCAAATAGGATGACCCGCCCCGCGCGAAAGAAACCACAAGAGATTCTTCTCGCGCACACTACGCACCATCATGGGGCATTGGTCGATGCTACTTTCTAAGCCAAAGCACGTCAAGGCGCTGACATGGACCCTACAGCCCCACAGAAAGCTCCATCACAGCCAGAAAAGCCAACTGCACTTGTGAAGCCCATCGCCTGGCATGCTGCTAAAGCCTTCCTTGCAAACTGGCGCCCACGCATTCGAGCCCGAGCCGAGCCAATCAAATGAAGCTCACCATCCTTGAAACGTAACGTTCGCTGATCAATCGTCCCACAGAACACGATCACCGCCATGGCTCAAGCACACTTTGTCTGCAATTTCAAAAGCGCGCTCATCCACACTCATATCGCTTCCAATGCACTTTAAATTCTTTGCAGCAACGGGCAACCCGGCAGCGCCACAGCTTGTGAAGCCCATCGCCTGGCATGCTATTAGTTGAAGCCTTCCTTGCAGACTGGCGCCCATCCATTCCCCAAACTCATCTCCAGGCGCCCCGCTTCACCAAGCAATGCAGCTCACCATGTTTGAACCGTAACGTTCGCAGAACACTATCACCGCGTGGCTCAAGCACACGTTGCCTGCAATTTCCAAAGCGCACTCATCCACACTCATATCACTTCAAATCCTTTGCAGCAACGGGCAAGCCGGCAGCGCCACAGACAGAGAAGCCGGCTGCGCTTGTGAAACCCATCGCCTGGCATGCTGTTAGTGAAAGCCTTGCTTGCAGACTTACGTGGGTCGATGTTTCTGCTGGCATGTGGCCTCAATATCTATCAAGTTCGAAGCACCGCTTTTACCAAAAAATTCAACACTTCAATGGCCGAAAACAGGACTTGCCAAAGGCAATCTGTGAGCAGTTTGTGATAGGCTCAGCTGAGTTTGTTGCTCCACGGCCGCAGCACAGCCCAATTGAATGTAAATGCGGAACACTCGGCAAACAGTGCCAAACAACCTCCCCAAATTCCTCCCCCAAAAAACAGTCGGGAGCCATGTGCAACTACCCGTTAAGATTATGATTATAAGATTAGCATTCTCTAAGGGAAAAATATTCAAAATAATCACACACCCCATGACTTGACTGCAAGTCAAAGGTTTGACCAGCAAAACCTTCAGGAAAGTTGCGTTGGGATTGGGGAGGTTCTCCCAGAATTGTCCTTCAAACCTTCAAACTTTCCGAAACCTTGGAAGCCTTGAAAGCATTTGCCGCCTCTCCACTCTCGATGAGCACAAGTCGCTTCTCGTCGCCCTGCGAATGAGGTGCTTGGGAATTTGAGGTAGGTGAATGGAGGAATTATGACGGATATGGCTGGAAGCCTTAGTGGTGGTAAGTTGTGGAACAAAAATCCATGAATAGGACTCCACTTCTAGGGATATCAAATCATACACCAGAACATACCAGAACCTATCCCGTTTTAAAACGGGGTTACAAAGAGTTGAGAGTTATCCAAGTACAAGTGGTACAAACAAACACGAATGTCTGCGTCAGTCAGTAGCACCAATATAAGAATGCCTACGTCTGTAGCACCATATATTAAACACAATTACAAGCACTGATGGGGTGCCGGTGCGCTCCCATATATGGAGTCCTATACGGTAACGTGTGGAATGACCATGGGGTCCACTCACCCAGCCGGTGAAGCTGATATGCCATTTGATGACGAGGTGGCCTATGCTGAGCCCTTGAGGAAATGGCCTTTTTTCTTCAACAAGCCGGAGCAGGTTCACCAGTAACAAAAGGCTACCGCTGGGAAATGGTGTGGCAATAATCCCACGGACCTGCAAGAAAAGGATGATGATGATGATGATGATGATGATAATGACAATGAGATGATGATAATAAGGGCCACGAGTGCTCAAAGATCTGTCCCATACTCCTGGTCGGCCATCCCTGTGGTCTGGCGCTCCTCTACCTCGACCTCCTGGGTCTGAAGATGCGCTGCTGGTGATCATGATCTCCCTGATTCGGCGCTTGGTTTCTGAACGATCTCCTGATCCTGCCCTGAGCCTGTTCATCTTGCATCAGATCTGGCGCCGGAGTTCCAGCAGCTGCGCGAGGGTGAATTACCTGACCTACCACAACAGCGCCTCCTCACACAGGCATCGATCAAGAATCCGCTCCTATAGCAAACACCTGCATCCGAAACCCCAGGCATTCAGCTGCTGTCGACTGAGGTCCTCTCTGAACATCTTGGCTTGGTTCCTCTTCATGACCGTTCTCTACGCACCTGCAGCTGAATGGTGGCCCAAGGGCTCCAGTCCAGCTACATGTGCTTTGGACATCAATGAAGCTGGAGATGTTCTGACTTTGAAGGAGGGTCCGACTGCACTTCCTGACTCACAGCTGCACTGCACCTCATTCCCGCGACCACTGTCAGGACCTTTCACGCCCGTCGAGATCAAGTTCCCGGACAGCTGTGTCCATTGCTCTCAGGACCTTGCAGCAATGATTTGCTAGCGGACACTGCACCGGACCTGTACCTGAGGAATCACCGTTGCTATGGCACCAACTGGGTGGCACCTTGGATCATCTCATCTGCTACAAGTCCCTGGCGCAGAAATTCACATGCTCCTGTACAACGCTTCCACCAAGTCTACATGGTTGTACCACCTACACCCACCTGGAGTTCCTTGTTCACCATGACTTGCTGGACTTCACGGAGCTGCCCTTTTCTGACTTGGACTTGAACGTGAATGTCATCCCGCGCATCGTGGTGGCTATCTCCTGCCATCTTGGCACTGAAGACTCCAGGACACCATCGACCCGTTCTCATGGATTGCGGCTGGTGGCTACATGATGTACACCTTCCACTCTCTCAAGAACATCATTTGTCAGAAGAGGTGCATTGCAAAGCCTGTTTTCTCTGGTTGGGTTGTGATCCGCACGGAGAACCTCAACCAGTGTCTTGGCTGGAGCCGGCAGATTCTCCACCTGTTTTCTTCGGTGGAGATCATGTTTCAAATTTTGAGATTTTATCCCACCTCACGGTACCCTTGGAAAGCTGCATGGCCTATGGCGACTGCCTCAATGGCTGCTGCGCTGCTGATGCCCAGAGCCTTGCTACCGCTTGGTGTTGAGTTGCTGTGTCTGTGGCAAGACTTCGCCAGAACTCCTGCTGCACTGAGGCCTGAAGAATCCATGAAGTGTTTTACAGCACTTGTAGGTCATAGACCTTGTGCCTGCTTTCCCATACTTCCACATGGATTTTGCTGAGTATGAATGCCCCGGTCACCCACAGTGGGCAATGTAGCATCTACTTTGGCATGGCCAGCGGCGTGCCAGAAATCTGACATGTTGCTGGATGCTTGGGCCTGAGACCTGCGTGGTGCACAGGACGGACTAGGGCGGCATTGTCATGCACGACTCCAGGTCGCAAACTTTGACTCCGGAGTGCGTCCAGAAAGAAAAACAAATGACGATAACATGGCAACCGCAGGAGGCCTCTACAAATTGGAAAGTGACCCATCCAGCCAAAACATGCCAAAGCCCAGCAACCGGCAAAATTCGTCACCCGAACCCCCCCGTGAAATTCCGCACCGCGATCGCTGACCACCTCCTGGCCAGACCACAGCCGCTCTCCAGGCTGATAGCTGCAACGCCGCAGCAGCGCCGCCACGCGGACCTCACATCGCTGCCACCGGGGCAGGATCGGTGTCTGCCATGGAAGTCGAACGCCGATGACCATCGTCCACAAACCCCGTGGTTTTCACTCCACTTCCATGCATGGTTCATGGAGTGTAGTCTTGATATTGATTCGCAAGCTGTGAGAATGGGATAGGCCATTGCTCCTGTGAGAGATCGGCAAAACCTCATTGAATGTTGCATGGAATCATATGGAATATCTAATGGTTTTTGAGAGTTTATCCAGTTGCTAAAACTGTTTCCCAAATCTTCCAATCAATGGATCCGAGAGTTTCAAGAACACCAACCGTCCCACGCCTGGCCGTGGATCGAAAGACCCTTCAGGACTTTGCTCCGCTGCACGGCTGCTAAGGCTTCATCCTTGGACAAGGGCACCTGCGCAGGGCGGCCAGGGCACTGCCAGGGCGAACCGTCTTTTTGGACGGCCACAGCCGGATTGGAAGTGACGGAATGATCCCTTGGTGTGTCACTTGGGTGATGTCTCCCCTCTATTGATCAATCAACTAGAGTAAAAGGCCATCTGCACAGACACAGGCACTGGAATCGGAGAAGGTGGAGTAAAGAATCGACGCTGGCTCCGCTGGCGAGGCAACGGCCGACCAGGCCATACGCGATGGCCACGCCGATCATGCTACGGTGTCTCGCACGGGTTCCGCGGGTTCCGCGATGGGTTCCGCGAAGGCGATTCGAGTTCGGATCAGCGATTCGCCTCGGATGATGCCAATCCCTTTGATGAATGATCCGTGGGCCACGCTCGAGTCGGCCACGCTCTTGTTTTTTTTTCTCCCCCACAGCTGAATGGATCGATGCGGCCCCGCCCTTTTTGCGGACAGGCGCCGCCTGTTGGACTTCGTCCTGCATGGGCTTCCCTAACAAAGATCAGCGTGCTTCACTGGCCTCCATGGTGTCTCTGAAGGTATTTTCGCAAATTCGAAGTACATTTTGCCCAACCAGATTCTTGTCACTGTGCCCAGCCACGCGCAGCCAAGCCGTACATGTGCACGCCTTCGACATACTTCGACTTCGACATACTTCGACGTATCGCGGGGGGCCCGGCCTTGATCTGAGGAGCATCCTCATCACTGCTACTCAGGTCAGAAAGCATTGCATCCTCTTCCTGCCTGGTGCCGCTGTGTAGCGCATCGCGACATCCGAGCACTGAATAACCCCCAACTACATTGGTTTCAAAGAAGATGACACAAACCATCACAAACCCCAAATTGTCCTAAAGGCAGATGGGGGTCCATATAAACCACCGACACCGGGATTGCGCCACCTACTCTCAACCTATACGTTTGACTCACGTGCGGCCGCTTCTGATCTCGTCATAGCAGGGGAATATTGAACAAGGGGAATGTTGAATAACACGCAGCCATTTTCAACAAACAGTGTACTTCCACAAGGCTCCACTGTTGATGGACAAAAAATGACAAAAATGCTGCACCACTTGAAATGTACCACATCTACTCCCAGGATCTCAGTTGTTCGTTCGGTGATGCGAAACGATTCCGTCAACTCCATCGATGTCTTCAGCTGCTGCTACCTGTCGTCATCATCTTCTCGATCAAGCCGCTTGGTTGACAGGCCTCAAGCGCGCACCAGGCGTTTTGGTCTCAAAGGCCATGGGCATGATGGGCATCCAACTGGGTTCTTGAAATAGCGCCAATCCGATGGGTGATGGTATGAGCCTCACAAATGCTGTGAACATTCCAAGAAACACGTCTTTTGATGAAACTGCCAGGGTAGGCAATATGCAAAGCATATAAAACTTAAAACAGCATGAGCATTGCATAGATATTGAATGAAGATCATGCGACCATGCATCATGCCGCTGAATAATGCACTCACTGCTACAGAAGCCATGTGACAGCACAGGGCGAAAGGCACACATGTCCAAACATCTTTCAGAAATACAACAAGCCTTCCCCAAAAAAAGAACGGGTCCGACCATTCTCAAAGCAACACACAAGCGCATCTTGCCAACACACAGCCCGTGAGGACCAACATTTTGGGGCAAGCAGCCACCTTGATAATTCCCAGAGTCCACATCCTCAGCTTGCGGGCCGTTCAGTGCAGCTTGGAAGCTGGCGGGTTTCAGCTTTTGGGTGGGGCTTCCAGGTGGCTCCCAGCGGCTAGGGACGGCAGGGGCACTTCATGCTTGCTCTTTCTGGTGCCCAAGAGTTGGTGCTCCGTCGGCTCAGGCCCTTCAGTTGTTTGCGTTCGCAACTCGTCGGATAGACGGTCGGTTGAACTACATGTGCAAAGGCACCCAAATCGGGAAGTGTTGTTTGTTGATCTTTGCGCTTGGTCCAGTACCACCACAGCACCTAACCTGAAGGACTGTGCGTGTCTGGTCGATGGTCGATGGTCGAAGGAACCAGAAGTCATGCTGATTTTTATTGACAAACCCATGTCTACACGCGGCGCTGTTTCTTTTTTCAGATTTGATTGGTAGCACAATTGATAAGTCTAATTCAAGAAGTGCCGCAAGAACATTGACTGTCTCAACCAATCTTGATTCAACCCAACTGCCAATGATGCTTGAAGAAAGTCAATGCATCGATCTGGACCCCTCCACCTTAAAGGACCCTGCCACGCTGATCAACTGATCCAATGTCCACACTACAAGGCTGCAATGAAACACTAGTCGTTGAATCTTCACTGCAGCGCTTTTGGCCTCAGCTAGGCTTCTTTCGACCCACTTCCGGAGACCTTGTTGGAGACGTCTCCATCGCCCCACGCAGTGGAATTGAAATCCCATTGCTTTTTCCCCCTAGCCACACTGAAGGGTCAACGGAATTCGTTCGCAGATGCGCCTCTTGGGTCTGCCCCGAAGAGACGAACATGCGACCAAGCTGCTTCCTCACGGATGAGATTCGCTCGATGGGCCTGCAGGCGTCTTGGGGCACTTCGAGGCGAAGCAACGGTCAATTCTCAGGTTCCATGTCAGTTTGCGCAAGGGTACACCCTATAGAAGAGAGAATCTGACCCACTTGGAACCTGAAAACCATTGGAATCACTGGAAAATCGTCTTCAAAAGGTCCATGCTAGAAGACGAACACATCAATCTTTAGGGGGTGCCAGCTTGGTTGAGGAAAGTGCTGGCCAACTGTTGAACAAACACCTGCATCACACCAAACGGTGCCCAGTCAGCCCCAGTATCGTCACAATTCCCAAAAAAGACCTCCGAGGCCAATTGTTGCCGCTTCAAAGCAATCCAGCTTCAAGAGTGACTAGTACAACAGGACTTCCCGAAACTCTGGAACCAAACTAGCCACCCGCCAAATACCTGCCAACCGCCGCAGCGGTTTTCACCGCGAGCTGCTCCCGCCTGCTGAAGGAAGTTCCAATTCGACTTTTTGGGTGGCATGGATGGTGCGCTGCTGCTGACAGCAGAACACCCAGGCACTGTCGGACTCCACTCTCTATAGGGTCTTGCGACCGAGGGCTCGGTGGTCTTCCGAAGTGAGGTGCCTGAGGTGCTCTAGTGACTCTAGTGTTTGCCTGCGGCCAAAAAGGGGCGTGAAGGGTTGGGTCCTGGTCCCTTAAACACATGGTTTTTTGGGCGCATCATGGTCTACAAACGATCTTTGAGCCACAGCCAGTTGGACGGTTTCGTGCTCTCGTGGGATTTTGTGATGCCTCCCTCAAAGAGGTGTGGGAGCTGATGCTGCTGATGATGATGATGATGTGCAGCGAGTAAATATCGCATATTGGAGGCTGTGAGTTTCAGTGTGGGGTGCAAGCCTGAAATCATTCAATATCGACTAACCCGGCAAAACGTCGACCGGGGTATCAGTTGATGATGTGTTTGGTTACCATGTTCTTGTCTCGGCTCATGGAAATCGATGGATTCAACATGATTCCACCAAAGGTCTAAGCCGAAAAGCCACAAAGATGGAGTCTGGACCCTGGTCAGCGAAGCAAATGGCTCTGGGATGGACCCCGAAAGACCCCCAAACATTAACAAAAGCAAAACAAAAACATCGGTCAGACTTTGCCTAGAAAAAGGTCGCCTCGGAGACTCTTGATCTGTTCGTCTTCTTCTTCTTCTTCTTCTTCTTTGACTATGCTAATAGATTCGGAAGCCGAATCGCCCACTCAGGAGAGTGTCCACACCCTCAAGAAGTACAGCAGCAGCATCAGCTGCCCTGGCTCTTCTTCAGAACAAGCTTTTCCTTTTCAGTAAGAAATGCTGAAGGCCTGCGACCAGTGAAACAAGGAGGTCATCACCATTGTGAGATCTCCATATTTCCAGCACTTCCCTGCTCAAGGCCCACCGGTGTAATCTGAGAAACAAGATTAATCCTTAATCCATTCTTCTTCCAGTGCAACAATTGATAATAATTGATAACCATTGCCGTTCCTTGGAAGCATGATTATGAATCATTCCTTCAGGACCACAGCCGTTCCTTTTCAGTTAAGTCATGTCTCTGACGCAACGGCAATGATTGAACTGCTGTGCGCGTTGGTGTGCCATGTCTGTTCTGGTTGGTCTTGCCATCGCCACTGCTGGGCATGCCGGTTCGCGGCGGTGTTTTGACCGAGCGAAGACAGCCACATCCGCCGTCCGAAGCCCTCAAAGATGCACACCATAATGGTGTGGCCTCGAATCCGCGAAGGGAAAGGATCGATCCCCTCCCTTGCGACGTCACAACGCGAGAAAGTGCGGCACGTAGAAACGGATGGTTACAAAAATCTATCAACATCTCAATCTGAGGTGCTGTGGAAATCTTTCGGCACATGTTGGCTTGAGGTGCGGCGGTGTTTGTTGCGTTAGATACTTGCCAAAAGCTGCAGCCGAGGACTGTTATGTTATATAAGCTGCAGTTGGGGAAAAAGAACACTTGTCCAAATGAAAAAAGGTTCAGGTGAGCAAAACACTTGCCTGCTCAAGCTACCGTTGCCAGGATGGATTGCCAAAAGCACCAGAATGTTAAGAGCCAGTAGCAGCTAGAGCATCGTCTGAAAAATACCTATCCCAGACGCTCCATGTATGCCATATTTGCCTACATTGGGGTGGTTTCAAGGGTCAATGTAGGCATAATTATATTGTATTATCACATATATATATATACATTGTAGAGCCCCTGGCTGGCTTAACGTATGAAATGATTCTGGGTGTTCGTGGGGGGGTGTTGGTGGTGCAGGAAAATTTTCGTCTGGGAAAAAGGTGGTGCAAAAGGAGGTGTCTAACAATTTGCAAATGCTGTCAAGTGAGGTGTCAAGTTAATGGATGTTTGGGGTCAGAAGTTGTTGCAGTTGGTGCAAACGTGACATTGAAAACAACAAAACATGGTGCAAAGACAGGTGCGCAATGCGTCAGTGGCACCACATAATGTTGAATGGCTCAAAACGGGCGAGGCCGGCGAGGCCACAGTTGGTGCAAACCTGGGACTGAACACAACAACACATGGTACAAAGACTGGTGCGTAATGTGCGCGGGACCAATGGAGCAAGCCCTACCTTAGCCAAACGCTGCTGCATGATTCTCCGATGCGTGACTTGAGCCTCTCTCCTGCTCCAGATGCAAATTTGGAGTCAAGTTCGGATGCAGAATCGGACTCGGACTCAGAGGACAGCAAACCGTTGTCCGTTGTGATGAATTTGAATTGAAATGGTGAAGCAGGGAAAGACCGCCTGTTTCAGTCTTGCGTTTCACTGCATGTCCAAACTTCGTGGCAGCTGGAGTCCAAAAGCACCGGTTGTTAGGGTTGCTGTTTCCGCCGCCGATGGTAGTTGATTCAATCAAAAACATGTTCGATAAACATGTTCGATATTCCTTTTCGATGATTCATCAAACAATAGAAAAAACATGAAGGAAGGCAAAACAAACGAGACACACACACACAAGTGTTGCTGTTCTTGTGAAGGGTATGCCATGGCTATGCGATCCATAAGCACTACCACTTTAAACTTTTGGCACCAGCATTCTTGATTTTTCTCACCTCTACAGAGCCTCCACAGTGAAAAAAAATACCCATTCAAACACCCACCGTGCCACATCCCTGCACCTGGTTTGCCCCACGTGTCCTGTCATTGAACCCCCCTAGACCAATTTCCCACACCTTGGCCCACACCCATTTTCATAGACTTGAACACCTGCGGCTTTGCGCCACACACCCCGAACACCCCCCCACGCATACACGCGTTAAGCCAGCCACGGGCTGGACAATATATACACCATACATGAGGGACGACATTTAATTAGGTATTTTGCCCATCTCATTCAATTGATTTTGATATTGGTGCTTGTCTGGAGTCTCGTTTTCCACAATTTTCTACGTACCTATGATGCCACAGCACTACATATGTACAGGAGGTCTCGTTTTATAGCTGACCCCTACCTCGTTCAGCGGGGCCACAACGTTTTGGGGAAGAGATGCGGCCACCTCCAAGCTAGTCTTTATATATGTCGGTCAATAAACGCCGTTGCTCACATGAAGTGTCTGGGTATAAAGTATAATGAACTTCACCAGAACCGTGATGCCCGGCACTCAGCCGCCCGGCCGTTTGTAGGGCAACGACTGACTTCGCTCCTTCTGAGTGATCACCTGAGGGGGCCGAGAGGCTGACGGAGTCCGCTTATCGAAGGGTCTGGCGGCAACCTCATCCCACCTTGCGCAGACTGCGCACTCAGTCCGTGGGGTTGTATATATTTTTTTTAGAAGTGCGCACAGTGACTGGGTCCTTCAGTTTCCCTTGAAAAACCTGTTCACTTTTCCATCTGTCGATTGCAGTGGGGAAACCAATCCCCCTAACAAGGTGACATGCAGGTTATCCACGTACGAAACCTGACTAGGGTGAAGCCACTGCCCCCCTTCCAGGCCAAACCGATAGGGTCACAGGGAAGCCACCCTAAGCACCGGACTGTGCGGGAGGCGCTCTTCCAAAGCTGGTCCTCGCAAAAGCGTGACCTGATCGGGCCGCAGCCATCGGAAAATCCCAACATATGAGGTACCTCAAGAAGAACTTGGTAATCTTATATATCCTCAATGTAGAAAGGATGTCCAAGTTTGAACAGCACATAACAGCACTGTCTTGGAGGTATAGTGAGAGGGGTGACGTGTCTAATTACTGAGTCTACTGAGTCTTTTTGGTTTTCTTCATCTCTCCATTGCTTCCTTGGCTGGAAATCCAATTTCCAATCTTCTCAAACACTGGCAACCTGCCACTGCGACTCCCACAACAAGCGACTCAGAAACTGATGGCCCGCCGAGCTTTCACGGGCCGCAACTAGGGCCCCTTTGCTTGGGCGGCTTCGTCATGGCATTGAAGTCGTGGTTGCTCACGTAGGTCACTGACTTGCTTTTGCCCTGGTTGTTGCGAGTATTGAAGGTACAATCGTGGAAGGAGGGGTTTTCAACATGCTGCTCAACCAAACCAAACCGCGGAATGAACGCATCCAAACAACCAATGAATCATCACAGGATTTGCTGGATTCATTTTGTGTGCCAGTGCGAGAAAAACCGCGAAAGCACGTCTTCCTGACATTTTCAGGTATAAACAAGCTTAAAGTGACTTAAACCATCTATAAACCATCATTATAAACACATTTAGACATGCATTCTGGTGGCATAGGCGCACAAAACACACTGAAAGAGAGATCAATAGATCCCTTTCCAAAGCATGTCTTGGTCTTGGACCGCGTGTGCGCCCACAGTATCTCATCTTTTTGAGGTCATCAACGTTGACGGATCACTCCAGTCGCTGTCCCAACTCTAAGGATCCAGCCATCGTCTTCAATGTGCCTTCATGCCGCCAGGGTGCCTTTGTCAGGCCGCCACTCCTGAGGCGTTGGCTGAAGCGAAAAACACCAAATACGAACGAACAACACTGTGGTTGGGCAGATTCCACATCTTTGCAACCCGGCCCCTTTTCACTCAACTATATACAAGGATCTTTTGTCAACCAAACTAATCAGTGGGGAGGGGAGCCACTTGGTTTGAGGGAAATGAAACACAAGCAGCTCCGCTCTATCTGCCTATCTGCGCAAACAATGGACTGAGGAATATGAATGATCTGATGTCCACACTCTGCGGGAACTTTGTCCAGAGTCCACACTCCTTGATGCCATCACGGGGGAAGGGCCCCAAATACGAGAAACATGTGTAAGATGTGTAAGTGTAGTAAGAAAGCATGCTTCAAGTCTCAACTTTACACCTTGTTCATCCTTGTTCCAATGGGCCGCACGGAAGAGCAAGGTGAATCTTGCACTTGTGGCGAACAAAGAATGCAAAAGCTATAGCCGCCTTCCGTGTTTGCTCTGAGAAGCCCTTCCCACACTCGCCGTGCTTCAGGCCTGAAGAGGCCTCTGCGGGAGTCCGATCTGGGCACCCAAACATGCAGGAGCGCTTGGTATGACCGACCTCCAAGTCGCGCTTGATGTAGGCACCTGTGTAGACCTCAAGCAGGCTTCACCCTGGAACACTCTGCAACAACCAACGCGGCCTGC